AAAGCAAGACAAAGCTCCCCAAACAGTGCTCTGTTGACGAAGGGAAATACCACTATGTGGGGAGTGGGTGTCATGTCAAGACTATAAATAATCACAACTTAAAGCTCCACTCTGCAATGAATCATTCCAGCAGCACCAGATCTTTCCTTTCTCCCCTTCAAAATTAGCTTGGATCCCTAACAATGGTTCATTCAACTGGGGAGAAGGCTGAGAGTCAAATGGAGAGGCAAAAAGCTCAATTACGCTTGGCAAATAGAAGCAAACCTATTACACTTCTGTTTATAGTCTCATAAGGAACTGGAATCTTTTTTTTTTCCTTTTTTTTTTAAACATTCATCATTAATGTCGGTCAGGAGGTGAGCAGCGGCTTTCACGGTTCATTGTTTACATGTCTAATTTACCAAATCAGTAAGTAACAGCGAAGCATGCAAAGCTGTTAATCTACACACACAGCTCTGAAATGAAACTTCTAGAGGTTCTCCAAGAAACTGGAAGCACTAAAACTGCTGTTGAGCCGCGTTGGTGTGAAAAATCCAAAAGCTGCTGTGTTTGACTTAAAAGGTGCTCTGAATAGGACAATCGAAACAAACCTGATGACACTAACCCTGACCCACCCATCCCACTTTTCATAACCCCTGAAGTTTGCTGAAGCTCTTTTGGCACTCCTTGGAGGAGTCATTATTCAGAAGATTGAGGTTTATAGAGCATGACCTTGGAGCGTTTACCTAACCTCTACTGTTGTGTGACTTAGCTGAGCCCAGTCTAAAAATGCCATGGATGTCATAGCAGATATAACACATAAAATGACGCAGCGCCCCGAGGAGCTGTTAAGACCCAGCATCACCCAGCATGTTACAGTATAAACCAGTCGAAATGTTTCCAAATGAGTGCATCACTTTCTTGCAAATCAGGTGTTCTGTTCCTGCATGTTTTGCTTCTCAATCTCAACAAAAACATTCCTGGACACCATGAAGTCACTGATCTACTGCCAAAGAGTGTTCCCGCTGGCTGGGTTACAGCTTCAGTACCTGTACCCTTATCATAATAACTTCACTATGGTATAACTAAGCGGGCCTGTTGTCCTCTCTCCAAATAGCCATCAGCAAAAATGATTAACAAATCAGCAGGTTTCCAGGATTGAACTGTCTAATAGTGGAGCGTTTGCAAAGGCTAGAAATGATAATGATTTCCTAACTGTTCCAAGCCACCAATGATTCCAAGCCATCATGAATCTAAGTTGACTCTTCTATAAGGAGCGTGCCATGTCTCTCCTCTAATGAGCATGGCTAACATTCGTCAGCTCACTCCAATGGTACTCGGAGTCAAGAGGTCACGGCAGACCAGTGTAAAGATTGACTGAGTTCACAAAACAGTGAGCAGACAAAGGCCCGTGAGTAAACTTCCACTGGCTTTTATTTATTTGCCCTCTCCCTGTTGCAGAGAAACCTTCAGATGTTAGGAGGGTTAAATACACTCACTCACACCGACAGGCCAAAATCCCTGCAGCCGGTGATTCGGGGAAGGTGAGTACACTGCAGCACGAAGGTGGAGAGGCTGTGATTGTAGCACAGAATAATTCAAAAAGGGTAACCTGAGCTGTGGGACGTGGAAGTCTTATTAAAGGCATTTATAGTGAGCTCTGCCGATTACCCAGATGAGCCAGGACATTGTTTTTGTAAAGACTTTCCTGTCAATCTGTCCATTTTCCTAACTTCTTGTGCTTGGTTTGGGACCGGAGCACATCTAAGCTGACACTGGATGAGAGACAACATACACCCTGCACAGGTTGCCCGTCCATCACAGGCTGTTAAATTGTTACAGTGTCTATAAGGGTTCATAAATTATCTCAGATTTGAGCACCACAGATTAGAGTCTGCTTAGCTCCATTGCAGATAAACACAAGTAGCTGCTAAATACCATTAGATGGTGGGAACTTTGGTATTGTTGTTATCCAGTTATATTGAAAGCAAAGTTTGACATCTTCTTGCATAAATACTTATCCTGTCATGCAGTCCACTACAACTTATACAGGAAGGCTTTTCTGTAGAAGCATTGCCCTATAATGTAACACATCACAAAGTGTTTGTGCGATTTTACCCAGAATACATGGCAAAGAAAAGCTGTTGGCCATATTAAAGCGATTATAATAATGAAATGTTAGGGTAGCCTCATAGGGAGCTACACAGTTTGTACTTTATGTAGTGACAGTAAAACTTTGAAAGCAAATGACAAGGGAAGTATCCCTCATGCACTCAGATGCACAGTAGACATGTGGTACACTGAAAAACATAATAACTGGGTAAAACTACAGAACAATTAACGTTTTCAAATGAAAGCACTTCACTTCCTGTATGAATTCTTGCTGATGTTTTTCTGTATTTCTTAACAATGGACTGACATTTGTACCATTTGCAAAAATGTCCATAAACGTCCGTAAAAAGACAAATAATGTGCTGGCAGAAAAACCCTTTATATTCTCTGCTTCTTTGTCCTTCTGCCTCATTGACCTGACAATAGCAAACATGTGCTCACATTATCAACCATCTGGAGGTACCAACCTGTGCTGAGGAGTCAGCATGCACTCTCAGCCAGAGTGTATGTGAGTGGTTGTGTTTCTGCAGTGTTATAGCTCTAGCACTGGCAGCAATAGAGCAGCAATGCCTGCAACAGTGGGTGATTGTCTGGAGCTCAGGAGCCAGTTAACCACTGATGCATACACACTAACTCTGTCTGTGAATTCAAGGGAGGCCACATTTATCCCCAGTCACCTCAGTTTTCCCCATAAGGCTCTCATATTCACTATCAAGGACAAAAAAAGGATCTCTTATAGGGTTTCAACTCTACTTTGTTTTACATCAAGCAACCGCTATCAGCAGAGAATAACAGAATGTCTTGTGGTCTCAGATTTTTGTTTTTAGATCATATCTGGAAGACATTCATAATAGAGTACAGGCAACTTGGACTCACTTCTGATAGAAGATAATGCTTTTCCTGTGAAGTACTCTTTCTTTCAAGGAGTGCACATTTCTGATGTTCCACAGACCCCAGCTGAATGTAGCAGGACAACAAGACCTGCATGCTAGATGTCAATAATGCACACTCCCATGAGGAATGTTTAGGGTTTAAGGGTGTTCATCTAAAGCCTGAACATGTTTACAGAGATGGACACATTTGCTGCTCTTGGGTCCTTGACATTTGCTTCGGTGCTTCTTCTAATTTATCACTTGCAGAATAAGCATTATTACTTACAAGACAGCCTCATTCATCCCCTTTCTCCATGGTTTACCTTTATTCTTCAGCTTACTGGAGCTGTGTGAGTGGGTGCCAAATAAAAAGATGATATTGTAGCAGATCCTAGACTGCATGTTCACATGGTGGGATCAAAGCCAACTTCCAAAGCTAAAATGCATGTGTGTGTGGAAAAGTACAGGTATCAGATGGGGATGGTAAAGCTTAACAGCAGCAGTCCGTGCACAGCTAGAGTGAAGCTAATATGCAGAACAAACAGGTCGAACGGATCGAGCTGAAGACATCCTAAAAAGAGAAAAACTACAGCAGAGCTCAGTCGTCTCGTGCTTAAACTTTCTAAAATTCTGAATAGTTTGTGCCACGTTTTGGTGCCACAATCGTGCAGCTCAGCTGCTGAAACTTGTTTGGTCAACTGGCGCCCTGTCAGGGAAACACGCCAAAGAACCTGAACAGAAATAAGTCTCCCAGTTGCCATATCAAGCGAAAACCTGTTCCGGAAACAGCTTCAGCGCATAGATAGTCTGACATCTGCAGAGTACTTAACCAAATGACCACTTACGTTGCTGCCGCGGAAACGTGTCCACTCCTTGTCCGTTGAGCTCCTAAATGCATTTGTATGCATTTGTCCAGGCAGCAGAGATCTGGGTGAAAACAGAATCACACTCAAGGGGATACCTGCACATGGGCTAACCTTTGGTAAGAGCCAAAGGAAGCATAAAGCGGACGGAGATAACTGCCACCTCAGAGTTTCCTCATCGTAGCTGCTGCAGTCCTGAGGAGAAGTCTCTCCAAACTCTTTCAAAACCAAAGCCTCAGATCCTTTGCGCTCTGCGGCGCGCAGTGATCAAGCTATTTCTATCCAAAGTGGAGACGCGCAACAGTTGGATAGGGGGGAGAGAAGGACTTGCAGTGCAGCGAGTCGGTATGCACCAGTGTAAACTTGACTGCTCTCAGGGATTCACAGAATTAGCACTCGACTTCTTCTTGGTCTCCAACACAGCAGATTCAGTTCCATGCGTCTTTGCCTCCAGGCGGTGGCTTCTGCTATGTGCCTTGACTTGCACTGATGCGAGGGGAACCCGTACTCAGCCCATCACAACCCCATCCTACCAGCTGGTGGTGTTGGATTTCACCGGTTACTGACTCGTGACATCACGGACGGAGTTTTGGCTTGAGCCCTTCGGTCACTCTTTGAGTGGAGTTTGAGTGCTGCACTACCCTGCACGTTTTCAATATGTTTAGTTATAAAACGTTATAAAACGCACGTAAAAATTGTAAATCATAGACATACGCAAACCAACACAAAAAATAATGACGTAAAACAGAAAACATCAGATGGCATCAGTTCAAAATGTTATGCAATTACTTTACTTGGCATATATGACATGAGTTTTAAAAAGAGCTTAATTTTGAAGCGGCTCTAATAGTATCACTAACACTTTACATGGCAGAATAAGTGAGCTTGAGTTAGTTGTAAGTGCACTTGATGCACATTCATAAGGAAATCATCACAGAAAATGGGATTATTATGGTCGCCTGTTTCTGAACATACATCACACATCCAACAATCAAAGTAGAAAGCCAGTATCAATGAAATAATGATCACAATACTACTAAAACAAATAGCATGCAGTATGTTAAATCCACTAGTTTAATTTAAGTAAGTAACCTTTATCTTTTATACATTGACCATTAAACTGAAATTGGGCATTGGCTGGAAAAGTGAAAATATGCTGTAGCGTGCTCAATGTGCTGTATATATAAAGACTTGACTGCCTCGTGACTGCAGCACAGGATTAAACAAATGATGAAAAAAAAGAATTTTGATGTAGTGAATAATAAACTCTCATAAAACAAAACAAAACGCTATGATTCAGCGAGAGAGTTAGACTGTTAGATGTGAATGTGGTTTATGAGCTTAGGGAGCATGCCATATAGTCTGAGGGCTTTTGATTTTGCGTCTGCTCCTTCTCCCGAGATTTACACAAGCACAGATTTATTAGGTGTATAAACTCCAGCAGTGTTTATAATGACACATTTGCTCCGGCACCAAAAATGCTCCTTTGTTTTGCGGTTTCCCTGTCCTAACGCTGCGCAGAGTTCTCCTTGAAAATGACACCGTTTCCTCATCTCAACCATCGATTTTTCCAAACAAACGAGTTCCAACTCACTTCCACCATTTCCCACTCAGACTAACCCAATAGCCTTGAACAAGAAGAGCTCTGTCACGACCCCCTCCCCGCCACATGCCATGGCATCCTCCTCTAGATGTCTGCATCCTCAGATCAGCCTGGACCGGGATTGAGTCCATATGGTTTGCAGTTTAGGGGCCTGGGAGACACTGAGCTTTTCCTGCCTCTAATTCCAGGTGGAGAACACAGGGTTTTTTAACCTGAAGACAGTAAAACAGCAGTGACAGTGAGCAGTTAGAATGCCCAAACACAGAGCAAGGTAAGAGAGGTCAAAGTGGCATGAAAACTCCAAACGACGACTTTCATAAGGATTTTGTGATTTCTGTAAACAAGGTGTCTGAGGCCCTTTGTGCTGCGGATGTGTGCCTGCAGCAGTGAGTCTACTCGCTGTCCCCCTTCTTCATCAAAGACAGTGTGAGGAGGAGGAAGCCCACACGGGATGGAGTCTCTCTCTGGCATTGCTATTACTCAGCATCTTCGGGTAGCGATGCTCTATCCAGATGTTTCACTTCCTCTCAACTTCCAGAGAAAGGTTCAGAGGTGCTGCTTTTCCGAGAAGGTTATGAATCAACGGGTTGAAGAAATAAACTTCATGATAATGTTGTAGCACAGAGCTGCTTGAGCTTGTTGACTGACAGGAAAAGGTTCAAACTCTGTCACGGGTTGTTAATAAAACCTTGATAAAACCACAGATTTAGAGCCCGCCTTGCTGTGAGTGTCAGCGGTCCTTTAAGATCTTTTATTATAATACCAGAATTATTTACCATAAAATATCTTCACTTGCATGCAGAGCGCTTTGCAGCACACTTTTAAAGATGATTTTCATCTATTTTTTCCCCCTTTACATGTGCAGATGTGCAGTAATCAATCCACTGTGTGCTGAGCACCAAAGTGTTAGGCCCGAATGAGTCAGATTCACACTCGCTTGTCTTTCTCCTGAGGAACGGGCAGATGTAGACGAGCGTACATGGAGTCCCCCTGCCCCCACCCTCAAAACAAGTGTTCCCCTCCTACAGTTTAATAACTTATCCAAGGAAATGACCAGTTAGTGTTTAGACCAGTGCTCTCAAACACTTTTCACTTTCTTGAAAGCGCACAAAAGGCCAGGCTGGATTGTCATCACAGCAGTGTGTGGTTACAGACGATGATCAAGTATTAATGCACAGATTGCACGTGTCAATTCAAATGAACTTATTAAAAAAGCGCAGCTTTCCATGTTTTATTTAAAAAAAGACATTTTGAATATGCTGGCAGCATGGTGTTTGGAGTCTTTTGGACGCAGCACTGTTGCTGGCCCCGCTCCCAGAAGCTGCATGGACTATCCCTACCTGCGTGCTCATGTCTCGTCAATGATTTCATTTCCAGAACTTCCCCTTGGAAGGCCAGGATCCAAATCACATACTCTGCTGCTCTGAGAGCGTATTGTCTTTAAGGTTTGAACATTTTATAGTAACACACCAGCTTGTAAACGTGAGGAGCGTGAAAAACCTTCGGCCTCACGAGATTCTAAGCCCAGAGTCAACCATGGTGGTTTGGTAGAGCGTAGAGCAAAAACGTAAGCAGCCATTAGGCTCAATAAAGATGTGCTTTTGAGAGGCCACTGTAAGCACATTCTTCTCAACATAATGATCCACACACGGTTGGTTAAGTGTGCCTCATTAGGTAAAGGGCTCATCAGTTTGCCGTGAATTTAACTGGGAGGAGGGCGACCAGTCTGACAGCAGACTCTACCTGCAGACTGACGAGATGCTAAACTGGCTTCTGTCTCTAATTAGCAGACACGGCCCTGTGTAATTTCTGTCCTGTGTGCGTGTCATCGGCTCGTAGAGCTGTTATTTTGCCGAGCAAGGAGAGTGTGGGCAACAGCTGGGGGAGTGCGTAACAGATGGTGAAATACAGAGCAGTTGATAGTGGAAACAATGTTCCGTGTACGAGTGTGTGTGTGTGTGTGTGTGTGTGTGTGTGTGTGTGTGT